TTGGAGGTGATGGCAGCCAGCTGCATGAGATTCCAGCGTCTCTGCATGTGACTGCAGAATACACTGGGTGTGGTGGCTCACGCCTTTAATCCCAGCACTCCTGGGGCAAAGGCAGGTGATCTCTGTGAGCTCGAGGACAGCCTGGACTATGGGAGCTCTAGGCCAGATAGGGTTACAGTAGTGTGACCCAGTCTTTAAAAAAAAAAAAAAAAAAAAACCTGATTTAAAAGTACCTGAGTTTGGGGGCTTGAGGTGGGGAAAAATAGAAGCTTTCTCTTTAGAAAAGATCTTGATGCTCCAATTGGCACTCTGCTTTCTGTGGTTCGGTGTCTAAGCCCCCCACCCCCCCACCCTATCACATACTATTTGCTTTGGTCTTTGTTTAGCCATAGTTTATTGGGCATTTGTTGTCCTCCTCACATTGAGCTACACACTGTTGGGGGAGGGAGGGGAATGACACAAGGTCCCCTGTCTCTAGCAGGCACAGAATGAAAGGGAGATTCGGTCACCTCCCAAAGGTAGGGCACCAGCCTCAAGTGTAGAAAACTCAGAAGCAGAGAGAACCAAAAGCTGAAACAGTTGTCCAGTAAGATTTCCAGAGAGGGCAGAAATGTTAATTCAGGCAGAGTCTACTGGCTGTGTGACCTTGGGGAAGCCACTTAACCACTGGACCTCAGTTTTTCATCCTTGCAAGCCTCACCTTTCAGGACCTGGTAAACAGCTTCTGCTTCTGCCCAGTGAGTGGAAACAAATCAATTTGAGCTACATTTGTTGTTTGTTTGTCTGTTTTTGAGACAAGGTCTCTCTCTGTAGTCCTGGCTGTCTTGGAATTCGATCTGTAGACCAGGCTGGCCTTGAACTCATGGAGATCCTCCTACCTCTGCCTCCCCAAGTGCTGGGATTAAAACCGTCAGCCACCACTGCCCAACTAAAATTTATTTTTTTAATCATCACTGCTGAATGATCACTGCTTGAATTTGCATTCCTATAGGAGAAGGAAAGTGAAAGCCAGGGGGTGGTAGCTCATGAGGTTACAGGGGTAGACTTTAGCATGGCAAGAGGGAGAGAATTTTAAGACCTCTGTTTCCAGAAATCGTCGAGAGATAACAGTGGCAGGGACCATCACCAAGTTGAGGTGGATGAAGATTGCAAAGAGGCTATTTGATAGCAAAGTTGCTTATTGATCAACCTTGAAAGACAGCTTTAATCTGGGCTGGTGATGGCAGCCTCCTGCCTCTGTCTCTCTCTATATCAACATGCCAGCAGCTTTTTTGTCTTGCCTTCTTCTACTCTGAGGGTCTCTTCCTTTTGCCGGCAGGGTCTGGAGCGGCAGCATCAGGAAAAGCTGAAGATGCAAGCTGAAATTAAGCGTATCAACGATGAAAACCAGAAACAGAAAGCAGAGCGGATGGCACAGGAGAAACTGGCAGACCAGATGGTGATGGAATTCACCAAGAAGAAGATGGTAGGTTCTTGTTGTCTGATGCTGGGGCCTATGCCCAGGAGTGACATGTCCATAACAGACCTGAGCAATAATGGGACTCTAGCAGAAGACAGCCATGTCTTCGTTCTAAAATACATAGGCCTGGCTTCTTTTTCTCTTTATCATGGCCAGATAACTTGCTCAATAAGAATGTGTGGATCGCTTCAGAGACACACACCCCGCACAACCAGTATACCATTATTTTCATGAAAGCCTTCATTTAAAAGTCGGGGTCAGGGTCACATGCAGTTAAAGAAAACTAAAGCGACTGGTGAAAGTGAAGTTCTTGTGAATTCCTCAAGGTACATTTTTTTTTCTTTTTGGTAAAGGCTCTTATATAAGACATTTGGTATTGGATATTAAAAACAGTTGCCTCCCAGGAAGCAATATCTTCAGACAGCTATGGATGGATAGAGCTCCCCAATGTGTGGACTCACTCATTCTGGGACAAAATTGAATGATGGAATGATTGGGGTACGTGAGGAGTGCAGGACTTAGAAAAATAGACTTTTTAAGTGTAGTTCAGAGTGAATGTGGATTTATGTAAAAATAGGAAGACGTACTCAAAGCGACAGAAAGATGACTTCTTTGCGTGCGGATCCAGTCTCTTCTGCAAATTTGCAGTCCTGTAATGACAACAGACACATCCTACTTCTCTATGCTGTGTTTTCAGAAGGTGTGATCACCCTCCTGGCACTGCCCCTAAAGGCAGAGAGGACTAGAGGCAGAGGGTGGTTGTGGAAGCATCTAGAATTCTCGCCCCTGCCATCCAGGGCACAATGAGGCAGAGGAATCAGTCAGACCCAGTGGAGCACGACTCCCAGGCAGGCAGTTCACTGGGCTTCTTGGCAGGACGGGCAGGTAGTGTAATGAGGGACAAGGGACCATCTTCATGGTGCTACCCAACAGGTGCTGGTGGTCATGTGAGTATTTTAGAAGCAGTGGTGTAGAAATTTGGGGAATGTTCACTCCTGTTCTTTCACAGAGGTGGTAAAAGGAACACATTTTGATGGTTCGCTCTCGAGGAATCTGTTAAGCACTGTGGGATTGCCAAAAACTTGGTTGCGGTTAGGGGAGGTGGTGGTGGGGTGACAGGGCACAGAAATGGGGGTGTGGAGGTGGGACACGATCTATAGGGTTGACTAATGAGACAACCTCCACCTACTGCGCTTTACAAGGCCAGCAGGGAACCACAGTTGTTACTTGGCTCCGGTGGCCTTACACCTTGAAATTATCTTCAGTGTGATGGAAGGAGTACAGCTCAGGATTCCTGTGCTCAGATCAATTTCGGCACCCACAGCATCTGTCTCTTGAGAGGCTGCCTGGGACCTCTAAGACAATGCCTGGGAAAGACTCCTACCAACGCTAGCTAGCGGTCCTTATGTTTGCCCATTGTTAAGGTCCCACTCCCCATCTTAGATAAGAGTGAAGGAGCGGTGGGGGGAGACGCTGGAAGGGATGTTCACTGTGGAGACTGTGTTTCTCTGTGCAAAGCTGCAGTCCTGTGGATTATCATGAGGCCTTTTTCTTCCCGGCAGGCCCGAGAAGCAGAGTTTGAGGCTGAGCAGGAAAAAGTCCGGAGGGAGAAAGATAAGGAGATTGCCCGCCTGAGGGCCATGCAGGAGAAGGCCCAAGATTACCGGGCAGAGCAGGTATCCACTTCCTCTTCCTCTTGGCTTTCCTTTGTCCCTCCCACTCCTGTAGCCGTTCCTTGACAGCCTGTAAAGTGGCCTCCAAATCTAACCGCAGACAAATGTCACTTAATGATGGGATGCACCCTGAAAAATCCACCTGCGAAGGAAGGGTGGGCCTGTCCCCATTGTCCTCGGTGGCAGCGGGAGAGCAGAAGTGTGCACTCAGGTTCTGGAGAAAGTTTTTGACTGCCACACAAAGAAGAATTTTCAACCTTAACTGACTAATGAAATATGTCACCAGAGGAAAATTCGGCATCCCTGTCATTAGCAGTTTTTAAAATTAGAAGCAATTCTAGGAGTGCCTGGAGGTGCTTGAGGAACAGGGAAAGACTAAAGATGAGAGAGGCAGGACAAGGTGACCCCTCAGAAAATATTCTGACCCCAAAGATCTATGCCAGGATTCCATTTCTTCTTTTGGCAGCAATTTGCTGCCAGAGGAATCCAGGGAGCTTCTTGAACAAACTGAAGTCTGTAAGTCAGCGGCTCTGCCTCCTTTTTTTGGTACCTTCATTCTTCATCCACCTCTCCCCTGTCCCACGGTCTGCTTTCTCAGGACGCCTTGCGGGACAAGCGCAACCAGGAGGTTGCAGATCGTGAATGGCGCCAGAAAGAAAAGGAAAAGGTACAGAAGAAGATGGAGATAGAGGAAAAGCTACGCAAAACCCGGCTGGAGCAGGTGGCTTTCAAGGAACACATGTTGGCCGTTCAGGTGCAACGGGACCGAGATGAGTTCGAGAGGATCCTTCGGTAGGAGGGGTCCAGAGAACCCTGGCTTCCTTTCCCTGGGTTGATAAAGTTGTGGAAGGAGAACTGTGTGCTCAGGGGGAGTAGTATGTGTGTGTTGGATGGAGAGGAGCTTTCTGCCGTGTTAGCGGGCAAGTGTACCTCCATCTTGATCACGTTGCTGCAATCACTCTGACTAGATGGATGGCTGAAATATTTCAAAGCCATTCGAGCCAGAAATTTTATGATTAGAGAACTGGAAAATAGCATCTGGAAGCGTTTAAGGAACTAAGGGTTATTTATCCTGCATCAGTAAAGATGTAAATAAAGGTATACATGTGGTCTTTTCTGCCTCCCCTAGATCCCACATCCCTGGGGAAAGTAGGGAAACTGCAGTAGGAGAAACCCAGGGGAGACAGAGGGTAAACTCCAATCTAAGGGTTGTGCCACTGGAGCCGAACTCTGAGGGGGAGTCTTTGCCATTGATTTGACCCAGAGTTGTTAAGCAACATGTGTTCAAGACTCTGTCTGGGTATCAAGCCCTGCTCTTGCCTGCTCCATAGGAAAGCTTTCAGAGATCCCTAGCTGGGTGGACATCATCTACAGTCACCTCCCTGTGCTTGGCAGCTCTTATCGTTATCCTTTGTTGTTTGGGTTCAATGATGATTCTAGCGTGTACACAGAAGCCCGGGACTTAAACTGCTCAGCCTTCTCATCCTCCCTCAGAGCAATGGGCTTCCTTCTCTGTTGTTTTCTCCCAGTCACATCTGTGCCACCAGACCAAATCCGACTGGGAACAACTCCCTTTTTTTTTGCTTTGTTTCAACCTCTGTAAAATAAGATTTGACAAATAAGACAACAACAAGGAGACAAACCAAATAAAATTCCAGTTTGGGGAACGTGCAATCATAGAAATTATGCACAGACACAGCAAGGCAGGTTAGCACTCAGTGGTCATCTTCAGGGCTGGGCTTTGGGTCCTTCCTCTTGGAACTGTCTCAGTCAGGAGCAAGGCAGGCCAGGCTTCCTGCACCCCTAGTGGAGGCGGAGCAGATCCGTAGAACCTCTCTCCCGCCAGAACCAGATTCCTGGAGTTGCAGAGGATCTTGCCCCTGCTTGTTCCCACTGGCTGTGATGCCTTTTGTCTCCCCCGATTTTCCTGCCCCTGGGGTTGTGCTGTGGTCACTGGACATCTGGTAACGGAGACAGCCTCCTAAATCCCCCACAGAACCTGCCCTTGGGCTCCAGATTGCCTTCCAGATGTCTCCCCCCCCTCCCTGCCTCCATGCCCTTGGACAGCTGTGTGCCTTTGGCAGGCACTAATAAATATTAATGGGATGAATTCCAAGTCCTACGTTTGCCACTGACCCACTTGACTCTGCTTTGCTCTGTTTGCCTGAAGCATATTCACTAGCCAGCTATTAAATAAAGCTGGCCCAGCCCTTTGGAGAAGTCCAACTTCCCCTGCTGCCCTAGCTTAGCATCTAGACCTAGTGTCTCCAAACCATGTGACTCCCATGATGGATGTCTTCACTCCCAGAGTGTCTCTGCCACAGCCAGCAATTCGTATTTTCTCAGTTCAAAAGCATGACCTCCAGTACAGCCTACATAGGGACTTCCTGCTTCTGGGTAGAAGGTCTTGAGCTTTTAGTCTGGTGACTGAGCAGAGAGAGCTAAGTCAGCACTTCCGAAAAATATGGACATTCAGATTTTCACCGTAACAGGTTGTGGCTTAAACACTCTGGGGCAAGCAGCTTTTGAAAAGCTCGTAGGTGATTCTAACACACAGTTGGTATCCACGACTATTGTCTTCACCTTGTGCTATGACCAGTGTATTAGTTACCTTTTTTAGTGTCATGACAAAATATCCAGTGAAAGCAATTTAAGGACAGGTTTATTTTGGCTCCTGGTTTGAGGGGGATACAATCCATCATAGCACGGGAAGCCATGCAGCCAGGTCGCATAGCATCCATAGTCAAGGAGCAGACAGAAAGACAGGTGTGGTGATGTAAGGCTATGCAGTAAAACCCTGTTTTGGAAACCAAACCAAACCAAACCAAAACAACACAAATAAGGGGGCAGGCAGACAGAGAAGAACCATGCTGCTCAGCTCCCTTTCTCCACTAAAATTTCTTAGTCTATGACCCCAGTCCACAGGATGGTGCTGCCCAAATTCAGAGTGAACCTCCCCCCCCCCCCCCCCCCCCCCTCCCCAAACTCAGAGTGACCCCCCCCCCCCCCCGCCCCCCCAATTAAACCGCCCTGGAAATCCCCTCACAGAAATGTCCAGGGGAGTAGTCTATGATCTAGTGGAGTTGACAATAAAGGTTAACTAAGTCCTTCGTCATGTGGATTGTCAACTGCCCACCATCCTAACAGCTTTCTAGTGGCGCATACAGCTCTCCCCTTTCCACAGTTACTCCTTCTCTGAGACGAGCGAGAAACATTAGGAAACTAATCCACACACAGGGGAGTGATGACAAGCAGGGGTTGTACACTCCTGCCACAGTTGTGTGGGCTGTGGGACATTTGGTGTCTAACTGCAGAGGGGCATAGAGGCCAGCAGTCCCTTCCAGTATACTGGGAAAGGTTCCGTAGAGGTGTGGGATGTGGGGGAGACATTTGCATGGCTGGAGGCGCTGTCAGGACCTGAGTATGTTCCCCGAGTGGGGTGGATTTTGTAAGACAGTGAGGAGATGAATAAGCGACAGTGGACGGTGGTGGTGGGAGGGGAAACGATCTCTGTTTTGGGACAGGTGAGACTGTGGAGAAAGCAGGTGAGACATTGCAGCCTAAGATAGTTTTGCAGTTTGGTTTTGAATGTATTGAGAAGGAATCTGATACTAGGTTAGATGACCTCTAACCAAATTTCTTCGAGATATATTTCATTTGAGGGTCTCTGCATGCCATTAGAGATGTCCTCCCCGATATTAGTTAGGGTCTTGTTGTATTCTTGTAGAAGAATATTCTTATATAGAAGACATTCATAGGTGGAATGTGAAGACATTGATCAGTAAGGGAACAGAGATGTCAGACTGTGAGTTCTTGCCTTCTCCCAGCAAAAGAAGTAGAGCTAACATTACAGATGCTGTTTCCTTACTCTTGTTTGGTTCTGTTGATGTCATTGTCATCAGAGAGGAAGAGGAAGAGAACTTCGATCCAGCTGGAGAGGAGTTTCATGCATCATTAGCAGGGAGAGTATGGAGAACTATCAGTGGGTGAAACCCTGGTTGTGGGACCCAGCTATAGAATTTAGAGTCCAGTTAGATGGTGCGGATTCTTGTTTAAAAAAAAAAAAAAATACTAAAGGGCCAAAGAGATGTCTCAGCAGATGAGAGCACTGGTTGTTCTTCCAGAAGATTCAGGATCGATTCCCATCACCCACATGGCAACTCATAGTCGTCTGTAACTCCAGTCCCAGGGGATCCGATGCCCTCCTTTGGTTTCTGAGGGCATTAGGCATGGATGTGGTGCCCAAACACACATACACACAAAACACCCATACACATAAAATACAATGAAAAACATCCTAGAAATTATTAAGCATTTCAACACTATGATAGATAACGATGGGTCTGTTTCTGGCAGGCCAGAGGAGAGCACATGGTAGGCCCTTTATAGTCTGGATCCTGAGGCCTGGAGGTTGGCCGACTGTGGACTTCGAAACATGGCCACTTAAGGGTCACCCAGGAGCTCAGCCAATTGCATTCCTTTTGTCCCTTCCCAGGGCTCAGAGAGAGCAGATTGAGAAGGAGAAGTTGGAGCAGGAGAAAAAGGCCGCAGGGTCCCTACAGCATGCCAACGAGCTCCGGCGGCAGGTGCGTGAGAACCAGCAGAAGCACGTGCAGAACCGGCTCAGTACCTTCGAAGAGGGCCGGCGCCTCAAGGAGGAAGCCCAGAAGCGCCGCGAACGCATTAATGACATCAAGAAGCAAAAGCTGGAAGAGCTGAGGTGCACCGGGTTCCTTTCTTTCTCTAATCGCTTGGCAGACTGGAAAAGCCATGACTGCGGAAGGAGGAGCTTAGTGGGAGGCTTTCCGGCCTGAGGCTTGTCGTCTGAAGGGGCTCTAGCAGAAGGTTCTGGGACTGGGTCTTGTTGGCCAACGGGTCGCTCCTTAGCAGTATGTTAGGACCTTGACTGGAATATCTACTTGGTGGGTAGATGGTAGGAACAGGCTAGGGTACAGGGCCCCAGGTTGTGGAGGCTCAGAGCACGATTTCTCCCGTCACACGTTTGGTCAGCACCTTACTTATACATGACCCATGTTTCTCCCTGCAGAGCAACCGGCCTTCCTGAGAAATACTGCATCGAGGCTGAGCGCAAAGCCAACATCCTGCCGACCACTTCTGTGAAATGAAGGGGAGATGTTATGGGCTTTGGGAGGGCACAGATTCCGCCCAGACCCTGGGGCATCCACAGTTGCTGCTAACCTCATTTCATAGTAACAGATTAAAGCTATTCTATTTTCTGAGGAACCACTCAGGTTTACTGCGGTGGGGATGGGCATTCCAGTAGGCACGGAAGTTGGATCAAAATAAACTACAGGGGACCCGAGTGTGTGCTGACCTGCCACTCAGAGTCTGGAACCACATGGTGCTCTAGTGGGGGGTTCTTCTGGTCCTGTACCCAGTTCATAGGAATTTGGGGGCACTGAGGCAGAGTGAAAGATCGGCTTTTGTTGAGCATTGGTGAAAGGTTTGCATGAGGCAGAGCTGGAGAGGGAGGAGCATGAATAGCTGAGATTGGCTTATCCTGGGCTCCTAATTGTGACTCAGATCACATGCATGGAGGGGGCGGTGTGTGCGCCCTGGACTCTCTGTTCTGGACTCAGTCCTCTCCTGCTTAGACCCTTTTAACTAAGGCAGTACTGCAGCACAGACATTTGCCCCATTCCCATGGAGGCACACCCAGGACCCAGCTCCTCATCCAGATACAGCTGACCCTCACTCTTGGCCCTGTTATTGTCAGTTCACCTAATTCCACGAGTGGGCCTCCTGAAAGCCAGTTCAGTTTTTAACTTGTCCTACCTTGCCCCAATCTACTCCTACGTACCCATTCATTCTTCAGGCACTCACTGAGTACTTGTTATGCCATCTGCCATTGAGGTACTCAGCGTTTACAATAGATTGGGTCCCCTTTTCTGGAAGCTTCTCATTGGGCTTCCGATTTCCTCCTCAGCTCCACTCCCTTTCATATATCTTTAGGATGGTCTCAGCACTTTTAGAAGGCCCCTGGGTATCAAGTCTTCCACTTTAAACTGGAGTGCCACCATCAATGATGGAGATAATTCTCCATCCATCTAAAATCATCACTGCAGTGCCTGGCTCCCCCATCGCCAGGGACTTGCTCCATCTCCCAGATTCAGTGTCCAGTCTTGTCTTCCTCCATGCATCCTGTACTAAGGAGGAGAGGACAGCTGCCTGGTGCGTCCTGGGTGTTTACAATGCCAGGTTACAAGGGCCTGGGGCAAGAGTCCTCTTTTCATAGGGCCCAAGGAGAGTCACAAGCTGCTTCCTGTGTTTCCTCGGATCCAGTGGCTTCCCAGTCACCTTCTCCACTGTCCTCAACTGGAAGACTATAGCTTTCACACAATAGTTGGGAAGCTCCATTGGATGGAGAAAAGACTCTTTTACCTTCCTTTTGCAGCATCCTAACTCATTGCCCTCGTACCTAAAGAAGTTTATACATTCCTCCCTAAAGGTCTTGGAGGATGAGGTACCCATCTCAGGCTAGGAGAAAAGCACTGGTAGTGCCATCAAGGACTCTAGCCTGTCTCTAGCTGGCACACTGGCACCACTGATTGTCCAGGCGATACCTGCTGGGACCACAGAACAAACCTCATCTTTTCCAGAGGACTTTCTTTCTTGAGAAAGCCAGAAACATCCTTGGTCCCCAGTATTTGGCTGGTTCCACACCTGCTGTCCTTCCCAGAGCTGAAAAGAACAAGCCATGTGGACAAAGGTCTGGCTCTGCAGAAAGGACTACAGCCAACTAAGAATGTGAAGATGGTTTGGGAGAGAATCACAAGAGATTGACTCTCCAGTCCCACTAACTTTTTTAAATGTCAGAGTTGGCCCATGATGTGAAGGAGGGATTTGATCTCTTCTCTCAAGATTCATGATAGACCTTTCACCACGTCCGTAACCTCCACAATCAGTTGGCTCATCCACTGGATCCCAGTTCCTATAAGTGGGAGGGTTCTGAAAGCTGTTGGGGTGTTGGGTGGCTCCATAGTGTTATCTTGTATAAATTTTCTACCCACTCCGTATAAGGTTTTCTGTGGGTTGTTTTTTTATTTAATTGCTGGGGAGTGAATGTGGGCCCTCACATATGCTAGACAAGCATTCTATTATCAAACTGTATCTCCAGCCCCTCTCTAGCTCTCTTAATGATGATTGGCAGGGGGACTAGTTCCATTAAAAAAAAGGTCACCTGGCTGAAGTAGGGACTGGTGGGTCTGTCTATGGCAGCAGCAGCAAAGCCAGAAGGGAGATGATGGGTGAGTAGAGTCTACAGGATGGGAGTGAAATGCAGTGGGGAACAAAAAGGTGTGGTATTGAGGGGTCTAGCACCTCGGGCTCAGGAATCAGGGATGACCAGACTCAGTTTTGCCTCTAAAGGTCACCTCTTGGCCCTTTGGTGAGCTTTTTCAGCCAGTGAGGCTTCAGCTGCCCTCATGCTCAGAGACACAAGTAGCTTTGTGTTCCCCTGCCTGTGTGTGTGTGTGTGTGTGTGTGTGATCAGGAAAGAAGTAGGAAGTGTTCTGTGTTGGTGCATTGTCTTTGTTGTACAGTTGTTTTTGTTTGTGTGTTTGAGTGGCTAAACTATTAGTAACTTAGTTAAAGCAGGGTTTTTTGTTGTTGGTTTTTGTTTTTGTTTTGTTTTGTTTTTTGAGACAGCATCTCTCTACATAGCCCTGCCTATCCTGGAAGTCACTACGTAGACCAGGATGGCTTCTAACTCACAGAGAACCACTTGCCTCTTCCTCCTGAGTGCTGGGATTAAAGGCATTGACCACCACACCAGGCTCAGGTTCCTTTATGTATTATATCTTATATAAAGGTATATATTAGCTGCCAAGGATTTCTTAACCCAGCTTATGCCTCTGGAATCCTTCAGACCTTATGATGTCAGACTGGGTTGGTCCAGCCTAGGAAACTCAGGGGCTGGGCTCCTAGGTGTAACAGCAGCTGCCTCCTGGGCACATGAGCCCCAGCTCCTGCCTGGGCTCTACCTGCCTGCAGAAGCCTGTTGCCTACACCATGCTCTGCGGTGGCTTGGGGGCGGTCTCTCAACTTTGCACCTGCTGCACTTGGGCATGACTCAGCTGCCGGCTCTGGTGACCTAGCCAGGTAGTCCCTGACTCAGTGGGGTGCTGGGATGTCCCTGAAATCTTCAGCATCCCCATGTGTGACTTTGGTCACAGCTGGGCATTAATTGGTCCCAGTAAAAGCATTTTGAATAGGCTCGGATGAAAGGGGCTCTTGGAGTTCAAAGGCCCCACTGTGTTTTGGGGGGTAAGGAAAGGTGGCCTGTGTCAGACAAGAAGTCTGACACACAAGCTTGGAGGCTTAGGGACAGAGAGCTCCTCACTTTCTGTTCTTTCGACCACACCCCTCCTGCTATGTTCTTGTGAATCCTGGGAGCCCCGTGGTAAAGGCAACTGCTCACTAGAGACCTCAGGCCCCTTCCTGTCTAAAGGTGACCCACATCCCTTTCTACACACTGTGATGCATCCCAGGAAATCTAGTGAAGCTTACCTGGCATACCTGAATTTCAAGATTGATTTGTCTGCCCTTAAATAGTTCACCCCCTTTCTCTGCTCTAGTGCCCACAGCTCCTGCTCTTGTCTTTGCTTGCTGGGTTATGCCTCTTGAGGTAGAAACTCCTGCATTCATACCCACATTCCTCTTGGAAAGGGTGGCTTTTGTCCCAACGGCTCTGATGACTTTGGTGCTGGGACAGTGCTGGAGCTGAGGTAGTGGCTTTCTCAGATTCCCAGAAAGAGGAGGTAAGGTGATGACAGGAAGTAAGATGGGGAGGAGGAGGGTCTGGAAGAAACAAGATATAATATATATAATCTCCTACATGGCTGCTGGAGAAAGCCTGTCCCATTAGCCAATGGGAATGAGCACCAAATCATGAGAGCTAAGGCTAGAAGAGACCTCAGAGAACTGTCAGTGTTCCAGTCTTCCTTGTAAACCCTAGCCAAACGGCTGGACAGTCTGGCTTGCATCCTCTGCCTGCCTGCCCGCCCGCCCGCCCACCCCTGCCCAAGACAGGATGCCCACTACCTACCTGCTAGTGGAACACAGTCACCCCAGAGAAGGCCCTGCTACTCAGGAAGCTCTTTAGTCCACCTGTGTCTTCCTGCGCATCAAATGCGCAGCCCTAGCCTCACTCTTTGGAACTACACAGGTGCAGAATCTCTCAATAAGAACAAAGCCCTCTGTGTCACTCTGTGAAGCTCAGGTGGGAAAGTGCCTGTGGTTCTGGAAACACAGGGCTCTGCAGAGGCTTCCAGAGGAAGAGTTGGAAGGAGGAACCTGGGGGAGGAGGGGAGGCTTCCTCTTTACCCTTGGGCAGGGCTTATGGCTCTCCTGACAGTTAACACTTCCCTCTCCAGCCAGGCCTGGCAGAGCTGGAGAAGCCCCACCTTCTTTTCACTCAGTCCTTTATCCCGGTATCCAGGCAACAGGAAACAAACAGGGAGGGCAGAGTGAGGGCCTGCCTGGTCAGGCTTAGTGGGGAAAGCTATGAACCAGGTATTAGCTTTCCTCCGATGTGTCTCTCCACCTCCTACCTCTCTGGGCAGGACAAGCCTGGGACCACCCTGGGGGTTGAGGAGACCACAGCTTCCCCTTGAAGATAGCTGATCAGAAAAATCCAAGTATTGAAGCAAAAGAAAATTTTATTCCTACAAGTCCAAAAGCCAAAGTCCCACTGGAATATATGGATTAATTCATCACAAAATCTGTCTTCACACCGGGACATAGTCCAGGCCAATCAATCCGAGCTGTAGACTGTTTCCCGAGGACCTGGCTATGATCCCAGTGAAGTACTCTTAGGGTTTGAGTAGAAGCTTCCAAGTGGTTTAGTTCTCAAGGATCTTATCTACTCCGTGGAAGAAGAATCATCAGCTGTCACTCCTGGGTTCATTCTTCTGAATTGTGTCTGGCAGGACCTTGGCTTACTTCCCAAGCACTGAGACATAACTCTGGTCACCTCTGGGGTCCTCCAGTTCTTTCTATGGCACATCATCAATAACCTTTATGATCTGTGTTTAAACATCATTTCCACCAAACGGGACCTTGTGAATTTTATTAGCACAGCTTATCATACCATGGGCTAAGTGTCCCTCTGCTGGTCTGTGTCTCTCAGTCGGGAGGGATGCTGGGGGAGAGGAGTTGAGTCTCCTTTGCTCCTCCTCCATTCTGCATGAAGTCCAGTAGTTATGGAAGTGATGAAGGTCTGAGAAATGGAGATGTAGCTGAACTCTGTGAGGTGTTTATCTTCAGGGCTTCTCAGTTCTTCCTCAGCTCTGTCATCAGGATTCCATATACTCTTTACAAGGGACTCCCTCTCAACTTTGCTTGTCCCCCTGACATTTCAATTGAAGACATTCAGTCAACCACTCTTGGCTCTTGAGCCTTGCTGAAAGTTGTGGGTCAGGGCCTCTCCTTCAGAAGTCAAGACTGTGTGAGCTACAATCAGCCCTAGGATACTGCTTGATGGGAGAAATTTGGGTATAGCCAGGTCACCTCTTGCAGTGTCCCTCTTTCTGAGGTGAGCCAGTGGAAACACAGAGACTCAGGAGCTGGGGGATGGGCCCAGATAATCTTGGGTCATCTGTGCTTCAAGATTGCTTAAGCCCTGGTGTGTATTTCAGTCCCCTGCCTCACACCCACACTTTCAAAACTTAAGCACTCACAACAGAACTCACTGCTTTTCTTGCATCTGACTCTAACTCATCCTGTTAGACTTACAGTGATTCCCTCATGCCACCTGCACAATCTCTGAACCCCAGACCTTGGCCTCACCCAGTAGTCCTTCATCCTATAACCTTCACTCAAATTTGGTGAGAAGTCAGCAGCTACCATAGGCCCTTGGCATCCAGAATGCAAGTTCTCTGTGACCATCTTGCTTTGAGTCTTACATGACACCGTCTTTCTGTGGTAGTTCCTAACTCCTGCTCCCAAACTCCTCAGAGACTTCCTCTGCTGGGTAACTCTTCCCTAGATGTTCTGAGGTGAGCTCTAGGTGTACATGGAGGCCTGGAAGGGGGCGGAGGGGCTGTGAGAGAGGGAGGTCTTGACTCAGGATGTAGTCCTGAGTCAGCTGGGGTCCTGAGCCTGAACCTAGGGAGCCTGGGGAGGAGCTGGGGCAAGTCAGGCAGGAAGAGAAGAGCTAGGGGTTTATGTGAAATTGCTGAGGATGAGGAGACTGCCTGTATTCTAAAGGGACCTGGGGTTGGGCTGTGGCCCATCTCAGAAGCTGGTGCTGGCTTCTCTGAATCCTTTCTGGCCTCCTCCACTCCTCACTGTCTTTGTTGGGTTTTCACCTTTGACTTATTTCTGTCTCAGAACAGAAGTGAGTTTGGTTGCCCTGTCCTGACACAGAAGTCCAAGATTTTCTGAAACCAGCCTGGACCTTTATGGGATTTGAAAAGGAAGTGTGTGTGTGTGGGGGGGTGAAAACAGTTAGTTTAGGGTGGAGACAGATGGTGAGAGGAAGGCAAAGGAAGAGTTAGAGAAGGGTGCCGCTCAGGAGTGGGACACTTTTTTTTTTTCTGAGGGTGAGGCTCAGAGAGGCAGTGGGCTGCAGGCCAGTCCCCACCACACCATCACCCCACGCCCAAGGCCCTGTGGCATAGGGCAGGAAGACCTACAGCTTGGTTTATAGGCTCCAAATTGCAAGCAGGTGACAATTAGCTTTCAGTAGGTCAAGGGGGACCAAAGATGACCTTTGCATTATTTTTATCTCCTGGATACCCTTCACGATCCCCTCAAAGGTATTTTTTTCCCCTAGAAGCACCTATTGATAGGTCTTTATTCTTTCTCAGCCCCTCAACCTCTTTGAGACTCCACAGTCCCTTCCCCAGTAAATCCCTCTGATGGGCCTCATCTTTTGGCGACAGAACTCCACTGGTTACTCATAGCTTCCTGCATCTGGAAGCTTCCTTAGGCTGTGAGCAGGTGGTAGAGCAGGACTTCAGAGGGTACATTTGTTGTGGGATTAAGTTGCTTCATCCCCTTTCATATGGACTCATGCACTTTTGAGTCCCTCCCTCAGACATTGGCTCTATCTGTGTGTACCACTAGTATGCTACCAGAGCTGAGTCAAACCTGGACTTAGCAGGAGGGGGTTGGTATCTTTCTATATCATAAAATCCTACTTTTGATAACCTTGAACCCTCTTGAGCATTTATTTTTGCCTGTGTTTTACCCGTAGCTGCACTCTCGTTTGACTTAAATCTCAAACTTAATTCAAACTCATTTGAAACAAATCCTTAATCAATTTCAACCCAGCCTTTGATTTATCTCAACCGTATTCCTAAGCATATCTTGCAAATGACACTAAAATGGATTCTTTATCATAACACAAAGCCCAGCCTTAACTCCCAGCTGTACTTCTAGCTGTAATTCTAACCTTAATACTGACCTTAACTTTAATCCCATCTTCAGATCTGACCTCAACCTCATTCATAATTCAAATAACCCCAAATTTAACCGCAGGGGCACCCATCACGTCACATTAGATCAAATCCAGAGCTCAAATGAATCCCTACACCTCAGCTGAGTGGAACCACAGCTCTATCCATTTGCTCTCTCTCTCTTCCTGGCCCTGCCTGCTTTCCCCTCCACCGCCACTGACCTTCTACTCTGTCCTCAGATGTGTAGTGGTCTATATGGCTACCAAGCCCTCTTCGGGACCACTTGGGGCTGAGAGTCAGCATGCCTAGCTATTTCCTACTCAGCCAGTAGCTGCAACTGAACCGAATGTTTATTTTTCTGGGCTTCTGTTTCCCAACCTGTAGAATAGGGATGATGACCCCTGTTTTCCAGAAGGCTCAGGACAACTCCATAAATCCCAAAATAGAATAGAAAATAAGGATAGCTACTGTGTGTATTAGGTGGGCCCTTGAGCAACCTGTTATTGTTGGTAAAAGGATTTGGGACACAGAGCTGCGTGGACTCCTCATGCTTCCTTATTGTTCTGTCTTATTCTTCTATGGGGGTGGCCCTGGCAGCATTCCCGAACCCCATAACTCTCCTGAAGACTCTTCCCCCGCTGCCCTTCCTGAGCCCAGGTCAGTTGTGGAGAAGGCTCTGGGATCCCTTGAGGGAGCCAAACTGTGGAATGAGGCTTCTCGTGACTTTTCCTGTTGGACAGTCCTGGAATTCAGGGAAGGTTAAGGAACCATTCTGAGCTCATAGATCAACCAACTGTGGCTGGCCTTCCCCATCTGCTGGCTAAGACCCTCCCACCCAGCTTCAACCTAACTGCCTAGAACTGGGATGGCTTAGTCACCTGATGACTGTAGTTGCCCAGTGGACAGTCCGGCTTTTTGAGGGTCTTCATTCTTAGGGGATTATGACCCCTGTTAACACTGGGCCTGCATTAAACCTTCAGGGCCTGGCTGAGATGCCAAGAAATCCCGAAGAAAGCATACTGGGGTAGGGGTCGGGGGTTCAGCCCTTCTCCTGCCTTCATGCCTTCAAGAGATGTACACACTCACATAACCTTTTGCCCTGCCCACCCTTCACAGTCCCTCACTCCCCTCAAATGCTCTGACCCCTCCTTCCCCCTTCTTTAAGCCTTGGTCAACTGACTTAGATTTGTGTGAGAGGTAGGGGTCTAGACCCTTCTTCATAGCACCTCCTGCTCTCTGGGGTCCCGGAACCTGGGGATGACCTTTGTGTCAGCAGAGGAGAAGCAGCAGCAAGGGAAGACCCTGTCCTTACACAGACTTTTTCATTCCCACTTCAGCCCAGGGGGCCCACTCTCTCTGAAGGGACAGAGAAAAGCTACATTCCAGTATCTCCTGTTACCTGGGCTTTCCCTCTAGGGAGAAGAGTCCCTTCTCTGGTGCACCATTGTTTAGACCTGACCTCGAGGGGTCTCCTTGGAAAGCAAGGGGTGCTTGAAGGACTTGGGACCTGAAATTCTGGGTGTGCAATGAGAGGGTGAGTGAGGCTCTGGGGTGGCTTTGGTCAGTGTTAACTCTTCAGATCTGGCTTCTTCTTCCTCTTTCCCACTTCCCCCCAGGGAAGAGGTGACAAATGAGTGGTGAGGGGAGCTCTGTGGACGCTGTAAAATGGGGCAACTGCCGTCACCCTGAGGACTTGGCCAGGAGGAAGTGGAGGTTTAACAGGTACCTAATTACATGTCCCGCTGGTCGCCAGTGAAGTACTCTTGGGACAGGGAAGAGCTTGGGTGAGGGCTGGGTAATGCCTGGGTAGGCCATCCTGTCACCCTGCTAATTAGGGCTACTTGGGCTCCTCCCCAAGGCGGGGACCAGGCCCCCTCCCTCCTATAGAAATAACTCCAGCTGCTCCTCAGCCTGGCACTCACTGCACCTTCCTGCCACCCCGGGCAGTGTCTGGGCCCTCCGCTCCCCCTCCCCTCACCTGCCCCGTCCACCACCACCACCACCACCACCACCACCACCACCACCACCACCAGTCCACTGGGCCCCAGCTCAGGCCGAGGAAAGATCAAGACTAGAGACATGGGAGTTGGAGGAGCATTCCATCTACTACTCGTGTGCCTCAGCCCAGGTACGGGGCTGGGCAGGGGCAGGGATGCCCAGCATTACGCCAGAAGGTCAGGGATGAGCGAGGGCTCCCAGAAGACCCTCAAAGATGGTCTAAGAGGCACTGGCAGCGACTGTCTACCTTCACTTTGCTGACACTGATTTGGATACTGCTGAGGGAGCTTCTCCCTCCCCCCGCCAGGAGAGCCTGCACCAGAAGGCTTGGGACAGCGCCTGTGTGCAGAGACCTTGGAATAGATCTTCATGGTGTGATTGACAGCTTGTATAGCTCATATGCGTGTGCAGGTGCCCTTTGTGATGTTCCCATGCTGGGAGATGGAGACAGGGCTTGCTTGGAGATGTGGAGTTAGTTGTGGGAATTGCAGGTGGGGTATGAGTCAGGTGAATAGCAGCAGCTCAGGATGGGGGCTGAGGCGGAGCCCACATCAGGTTGTGATGTGCTCATCCCAGTGGAAGGGCCAGTTCTCCCAAGCCAAAGAAATGGGCCAGAAAGCTGTTTGCTTTGAACGGGTTCCACATGCTGGGCTGTCTCTATCCTAGCCAACAAGAACTCAGGCCTGGGGCCTCCGGTCCATGCCCCATGTGCTGTGAGTGTTCACAGGTGATGCCTCTTTTGGGATGAGGCTGAGGATGTGGACAGGATGGATAGTAAATTCCCAGAGCCCCCTTCACCTCTCTGGAGCACTACTGGAAGGCAGGGCTCAGGTTTGGATACTATGGCTCCCTGCCTGGGACTGGGAAAGTTCCAGTAAGGGACAGTCTATTAAGTATTGAAAATAGCATGGAGCCCCTCCTAGGGTCTAGATGAAGGAAGAAAGGTGGGAGGAAGGGGGACTGTTTCGTTCTGTTTCTGTGTATGGGAATACTTGTAATACTAATGCCTGTGTGTGCGAATATGCATGATGGTTGCATTTCTGGCAAGAAGCCTGTTGCACCCTTTCTCTGCCGAGGGCTTCTCAGGCAGTGCCTACTCAGGAAGCCCTGGCTGTGCCAGGAGAGCCAGGGGCATCTCTGTGTGTGCTGTGTGTGTGAGGGTATGTGGGCTAGATGCTCACTGTGTGGAGTTGTGCGCCGACACTTTCTGAGCTGCCTTTTTTCTTCTCTCTTCCCCTTTCAGTCTGAAATCAGCTTGAAACTTCAGACACTTGTCGTGGTGGCATTCCCCACAGAGAGTGGCCAGCCCTGGTGATTTTGTAAGGGACAATCACCAGTTCCTTGGACAGCCTCTTGACTTCCCCTTGTCCCTCTCTCCCCGAGTCTTGCCTAGGTCTCTTTCTACATTGACTTCCATCCTGGCTCTTCCCGCCACACAAGCTGCCTTTTTCTCTTACATTCCCTGGAAATCCTTCCCCAGTGTCACAGCAAGATAGACCAGGGTGATATGCCAGGAACAACTTCCCAAGGGGTGGGAGGAGGTACAAAAAGGCTGGAACCCTTGGGAGGAGGCTGAGGAGCTAGGGTGAGGCTCCATGGCCTGGGACAACTGAAGCAAGACAGTCTAGTGCGGGTGGCATTCTTTTCCAGCTTGTCCCTCCTCCCCAAGCCCCTTTCTCTGAATACTTACCCTCTGTCTGGCTGACCTGGTGTGGCAAAAGGGAATCCTCCCTGCCTTCACCTGTTTCCCGTGGCTCATCCCTGGGGTGGAGCCTCTGCTCTCAGCTGAATTCTGGCTCATCCCTGGCTTGCCTCTTGCCGCCCCAGGATCTGGCAGATGGCATCAGGATCCTTATCTTTGGAATGAGCTGGTATTCTCTTGGCCTAAGGCTGGAAGAGGCATCTCCAGGTCCCGTTAGAGTCCCAGAAGCCAGGCTTCCTGCTGGAATATAACTCAGAGTCTATCGGATTATGGTGTGTTTGTGGGCTAGCCACGGTTTAGCAGGGCAGGTCCTGTGATGACTGAGATGTTGGGGGAAATGTAAGGCCCTCACTAGCTTTTCCAGAGCCAGGCTACACACAGAACTCAGGGCTTCTGCAGATATGTCTGGTCTTGAATGGCTGAGCAGGAAGCCACCAGAGCGTGCAGTGGGTGTGTCTTAGATTAGTGTGTATTCTGTTTCTCTGTTTGCCTGTAAATGTGTGTGTATAGACCCAATAGTCTGTGTGTAAGAAAGTGGGAACTGCATGGGCATATATTCACATTTGAGGGCTTGAAAGAACATGCCTGTGTCTATTTGTTTAGCTCAGGACAGTGTACAACCGTGTGTGTGGTGGTGGGGGAGCATGGAGGAGTGGGGAGGGGCTCCCTGAGATTTGGGGCTGGAACCCCAAAGAGCATGCTTACTCAAAATGACATCAATAGAGAAGCTGGATGAGGGGCTTGTAGAGGGAGTGTTACAGAGACCAGGGAGGTAGGGAGCTGAGTGTCTAGGGTGGAACCCTGGGTTCACTCCCCCCTTATTCTTCTCTAGGTCTAACCGGTTGGGGCTAGAACTTGCCTGAGGCTTCAGGGGAGGGAAGGGGAGGAGCTTACTCCTAAGCTTCCTGATCCTGGCTCCAAACCTTGGGCTCCTGCTCTGACTCAGTGGCAGGAGGGGCCCCAAAGGGAGCAAGAAAGTGGGAGCCACACAATCACACAAGGAGGACACACGGTCTACAATGGTACACTTTGCCATACAAGGCTTATTCTACACATATAGCTGCCATAGACTAAGACAAGCACATGAACATGGCCAAGCTCTAGGTTATAGCTGCCCACTGTCAGGCACTTATATAGTCAGCATACATTATCATACACCACACACACACACACAGAGAGAGAGAGAGAGAGAAAGAGAGAGAGAGAGAGAGAGAGAGAGAGCTGGTCTTGTGCTTTTCAGGATAAAAAGGGACACCAGGAGTCATCCTATCCACTCTCCTGGATAAGCTATCTGGCTGGAGCACTTCACTTGACCCAGATAGAGCCCAAACCCAGCCCATACAGGTGGCTTTTAAACAGCTTGTTTCTTCCAATAGAACATTTAACAACTTAGGGTGATTCATGCATGCGCGCACACACACACACAATTGCCTATACTGTCATGTAAATATGCAGGTAGACATGCTACAAGGTTATGTGCATAAGTATCTTTGCATCTACAAAGACTCCTAAACATTAATGCACATTTGTGCATATATATTCATACATTCAAATGCTCCACAGTGTATACACATAAATATAACACAAGAGCTATGTGTATGAAAACAGTATTCAATTGCATATCTACACAAGTCTAGAATATATACACAAGTTCACAGGGATGCCCAGAGACTGCCATATGAATAAATAAACAATATTAAGTATTGCTTATACCAGTACATGCATACACACACACACACACACACACACACAGAGAGAGAGAGAGAGAGAGAGGGGGGGGAGAGAGAGAGGGGGGGAGGGGCAGCCCCTCATTCCTATGGAAGCCCCACTGAGTTCTGGCTGACAGGTAGCAGAGTGGTGGACACTGACTACTCAAGCATTGTTTCTGTTCTCATCTTCCCACCTACTTTACTCTTCACCAGCACTGTTGTCTGCTGTAAGAATCAACGGGGATGGCCAGGAGGTCATGTATCTGGCAGAAGGTGACAATGTGAGGCTAGGTTGCCCCTACATCCTGGATCCTGAGGACTATGGTCCCAATGGTCTGGACATTGAGTGGATGCAAGTCAACTCAGAACCTGCACATAGGGAGAATGTGGTAAGTGCTTGCTTGGCACAGGATTCTGTGTACTCTGTGATGCCAAACCTGATGGGGAAGCCAGTATCCTGAGGGAGAAGAAAGAAGGTGAGTGAAGACACAAGACCTCAAACTTCCTCCAAAATCTCTCAGGGAGTGAGGGATCTCTCAGGGATAAGAGCTGTCCAACCAGGAATCAAACCAGACAGATTCCACCTCCCTCTACCCCAAATCAAGGGGGAGACTAAGTATGCCCCCTGACTTTAGAAGTTCCAGGTCTGACATTATGCTTCTCCAGAATATCTAATGCCATTAGCTCACACTCATTCTGTAAGAGGTCACTGTGCCCGACACCACCCTCCCATTCTTTCAGCAGAGAAAACTGAGTCTTAGAGAGGTCAGTGAGTTGCTGACTCGAGTCTCACCTGAGCCTCCTTGGTCCTGTTTATCTCATCAGTCTCTCTCTCTCTCTCTCTCTCTCTCTCTCTCTCTCTCTCACCCCTCTCTCAGTTTCTTACTTATCAAGACAAGAGGATCGGCCATGGCAACCTCCCCCATCTGCAACAGAGGGTCCGCTTTGCAGCCTCAGACCCCAGCCAGTATGACGCCTCTATCAACCTCATGAACCTGCAGGTATCTGACACAGCAACCTACGAGTGTCGGGTAAAGAAGACCACCATGGCCACCAGGAAGGTCATTGTCACTGTCCAAGGTACGGCCAGATTCTTCTGGGCTCCCCTTCCCCAGGCTTCAGAGTCAAGGGTGGGTTGGCCACTGTGAGCTTGGCATGGTCTTTTGGCTGGGTCTGGGTTTATAACTGCCTGTCTTGTTACAGCACGTCCTGCGGTTCCCATGTGCTGGACCGAAGGCCACATGTCAAAGGGCAATGATGTGGTACTGAAGTGCTATGCCAATGGAGGCTCTCAGCCCCTGTCCTACAAGTGGGCCAAGATCAGTGGGCACAGTCACCCCTACCGAGCTGGGTCCTACCACTCCCAGCACAGCTTCCACTCGGAGCTTTCTTATCAAGAGTCTTTTCACAGCTCCATCAATCAAGGTGAGGGGGCCCAGCCAAGGGAGAGTGAAGATAAGTAGAGGACCGGGAAAGGGGGCCTGCTGGGACTTCCACGGCTTGCCAGTGGTACCAAGTCTATGAGAGACTGCTCATTTGGGCATGTCCCAGCAGCTGCTACTGAAGGAAGGAGAGAAGGAATAAATGGGATGTCAGTCAAAAGCAGCATGGTTAATTTGGAGGGAACATGGTCCAAGGAAGAGCTGGGCTTGAATCTTGGCTAGGATGCTGATTGGCGGTAGATCTCAGGCAAGTGGCTTAACACCTCTGTGACAGATGAAAAAAAAAAATACTTACTAGGAACTGCCATTCACTGGCATGTGAAGATTAGATGCCATGAAGGGTGTGAGGCTCCTAGAATTTAGAGAAGTTGAATATTATGAGGGAACCAGCACCCAGACTCGGGATGTACTTCCCTGAGGTCACAGAGAGTTGATGGTGACACTGTCTTCTTTCTGAGAGAGGGGTCCTTCCCTGTCTTTCTCAGTGAAGGGAGTATTTAGAGTGGAGTGGGCTTGTGAATGCTTGTATACACCTCCTGGGTTTTTTGTTTGTTTGTTTTTAAAGACTGGTATTCCGTCCTCATCCCAGAGGGGCTGGGCAGGGTAGAGCTCTCAGAGACCAGGCTTCTCCGTCTCACTACCCCTCTGATGCTCTTCCAATTTCAGGCATGGGCAATGGGGACCTGGTGCTGAAAAGTATCAATGCGGATGATGATGGGCTGTATCAGTGCACGGTGGCCAACCATGTGGGCTACAGCGTCTGCGTGGTAGAAGTGAAGGTCTCTGGTAGGTACAGCAGCCTGAGAGTCCTCTGGCTGGGAGGGCTGGATTGCAGGTAGCTAGGCTAGCCTCAGCTTGTCCCCTCTCCACTGCTGTCAGGCTAGGCCTTTGTCTAGAGCAGCTGGAAGCCATCTACAGATTCTCTTACCCCTCACCTTCCCACATCTTCCTCACTGGGATTCCCAGGGTCCTGGGTTCCTTCCCACAGACATTTGCCCTGACACATGGTGAGGCTATCTGTCAGAGGCCTGATTGCCTCCACTTCTCTCCACAGACTCCCAGCGTGTAGGCATGATCGTCGGCGCAGTGCTGGGCTCTTTGCTCATGCTGGCCTGCCTGGCACTAGGCATCTGGGGGCTCATCTGCTGCTGCTGCGGAGGCGGCGGGGCTGGTGGCGCCCGCGGTGCCTTCGGCTACGGGGTCGGCGGCGGGGTCGGCGGAGGGGCGTGTGGCGACTTGGCTAGTGAGATCAGGTAAAACCTGATGCATGCTGCATGCTGCTGCACGGCGGCGGGGGACCGGCGCCCTGTCCTCTTCACCCCTGTCTGTCATCGGCCGGCTGGGAACCCCACCCCAAACCTGCCCATCATCGCCATGGAGTGCTGGGACTGCAGCATGTCGACCTGCTCACTCGCCGCATGGCTTTCTGTCTTTTCCCTTCCCGCTTCCAGTCTTCACCTCTACTCCCTGCCTTCCCCTTTCTTCCTGTCGTCTATGCATCCCTCGCTCGGTCTGTCTGGCCTAGACTGTAAGCTCCTGGAGGGCAGGGACCGTGTGTTTTCACCCTTCCCTTGTATTGCGCCGGCAAGAACCTCAACATACGTATTTAAGAAGAGTTAACATCAGTAGTGCGAATAACTTATTTTAGAAGCAAACTAGAAATAAAAATAGAACAAGAGTAGCAGTGCTAATGATTGCAATGCCTTGGGGACGGAGGGAGAGGAAAGCGAGGGACAGAAGGGCGACGAGAGCTTGCCAGAGCGCAGGGTGAGGGTTAGTCCAGGAAAGGAGGGGCACAGCTCCGGGATCACTAAGGCCCCCTTCCAGCCCAAGACTACAAAGGGACCGAGGACGCCGGACTGAGGCTGCCCGCCGTGAGCTGTCCAGGACAAGTGGGGTCTAAAGAAGGGGGGTGGGGGAGCTGCAGGGTCGCTGGCCCAGGAATGTACAGAGAGGAGAGAGTAGGTTGAGGCTCAGAGAGTGAAAGAGAGGTGAGGGGCAGGTGGAGGGGGGAGCGGGAGATGAGAGGTTGCCAAGAGCCCCCAG